TTGGACTTCCAAGTTGGAAGAGACCTCATCAGCCATCCTGTCCAACCCCAAATCATCCTTGTCTTCACTGTGTCTGGTTGTGATCCCCAGGTTGTACCAATCTGCTTTCATATGATATTGTTTCTAGCAACCATATTTTGCTTGATAGTCAAGCAGTGCGTCTTGTAAGTCCAAGTTGGACTTAAAAGATGCATTGTTGGACGTTGCACTTGCAAGTTGGAAGAGACCTCATCGGCCTGTCCAACCCCATTCTGCCAAGAAGCAGGAATATTGCATTCAAAGCACCCCCAACAGATGGCCATAAAGCCTCTGTTTAAAACACTCCAAAGAAGGAGCCTCCACCATACTCCAGATTTTCAGAAACTACAACTCCCAAATGACAAAATCAATCCCCGCCCAACCCCACCAGTATTCAAATTCGGTTATATTGGGTATTTGTGCCAAATTTGGTCCAGTGAATGAAAATATATCCTTTATATATTACAATTCATAACAATAGCAAAATTACATTTGTGAAGTAGCAACAAAAATAATTATATGGTTGGGGGTCACCACAACATGAGGAACTATATTAAGGGGTCGCAGCATTAGGAAGGTTGAGAACCACTGCTTTAATGTAATGTTGTTTATTTTATTGCAATTTGCATCTTATTTTATTGTAATTTGTTGTTTGGGCTTGGCCTCATGTAAGCCGCTCCGAGTCCCCGTTGGCACCCAATCTGGGTTCTCGACTGACCTTCTATTTGCTGTGAAAGCTTCCCGTTTTCCTCTCTCGCCTTCTCCATGTGCTGGACAGCTTCCATGTACTTCTGCTCCAAATGCACAATGGTTTGGGAGTGTTGCTTGACTTGCTCCTTGTACTCCGATATCTCTTCCAGATGCTTCCGAGTCTGTGACTTCATCTCGTTCTCCAGGCTTTTCAGGCGCTTCTCGTAGACAAGGAGCTTCTCTTCTGCAAACGTCTGGAAAACAGAGAAATCCCACCTTAGATGGTTCAAATTCCACCATATAAGGGACAAAACCCATAATGTGGTCCAAACTCTATCTCATATGGTCCAAACTCCCTCTCATATGGTCCAAACTCCATCTAATATGGTCAAAAGTCCATCTAATAAGGTCCAAACTCCATCTCATATGGTCCAAACTCCATCTAATATGGTCAAAAGTCCATCTAATAAGGTCCAAACTCCATCTCATATGGTCCAAACTCCATCTAGTATGGTCAAAACTCCATCTCATATGGTCCAAACTCCATCTAATATGGTCAAAAGTCCATCTAATAAGGTTCCAACTCAATCTCATATGGTCCAAACTCCATCTAATATGGTCTAAACTCCATCTTATATGGTTCAAACTCCATCTCATATGGTCCAAACTCCAATATGGTCAAATGTCCATCTCATAAGGGCCAAACTCAATCTCATATGGTCCAAACTCCATCTCATATTGTCCAAACTTCATCTCATATGGTCCAAACTCCATCTCATATGGTCCAGACTCCATCTCATATGGTCTAAACTCCATTTAATATGGTCCAAACTCAACCTTAAATAGTTCAAACTCCATCTCATATGGTCCAAACTCCATCTTATGTGATCCAAACTCCATCTTATGTGGTTCAAATGCCACCTTAGATAGTTGAAACTTCATCATATGGTTCAAACCACCTTAGATAGTTCAAACTCCATCTTATATGTTCCAAGCTCCACCTTAGATAGTTCAAACTCCATATTATATGGTTCAAACTCTGTTTTGTATGGTTCAAATTTCATCTTATATGGTCCAAACTCAATCTAATATGGTGCAAGTGCCACTAGTATGGTTCAAATTCCATATTATATGAGTCAAATCCCATGTTATATGGATCAAACTCCATCTTATATGGTCCAAATGCCACCTTAGATAGTTCAAGCTCCATCATATGGTTCAAACTCCACCTTAAATAGTTCAAAGTCCATCTTATATAGTCCAAACTCCATCTAATATGGTGCAAGCACCATCTAATATGGTCCACGTTCCATATTATATGAGTCAAATCGCATGTTATATGGATCAAACTCCATCTTATATGGTCCAAACTCCATCTTATTTGATCGAAACTCCATCTTATATGGTCCAAATGCCACCTTAGATAGTTCAAACTCCATAATATGTTTCAAGCTCCACCTTAAATAGTTCAAACTCCATCTTATATGGTCCAAACTCCATCTAATATGGTTCAAGCACCATCTAATATGGTCCAAATTCCATATTATATGATTCAAATCTCAAGTTATATTGATCAAACTCCATCCTATATGGTCCAAATGCCACCTTAGATAGTTCAAACTCCATCATATGGTTCAAACTCCACCTTAAATAGTTCAAAGTCCATCTTATATGGTCCAAACTCCATCTAATATGGTGCAAGCACCATCTAATATGGTCCAAATTCCATATTATATGAGTCAAATACCACATTATATGGATCAAACTCTATCTTATATGGTTCAAATGCCACCTTAGATAATTCAAACTCCATCATATGGTTCAAACTCCATCTAATATGGTGCAAGCACCATCTAATATGGTCCAAATTCTATATTAAATGAGTCAAATCCCATGTTATATGGACCAAACTCTATCTTATATGGTCCAAATGCCACCTTAGATAGTTCAAACTCCATCATATGGTCCAAACTCCATCTAATATGGTTCAAGCACCATCTAATATGGTCCAAATTCCATATTATATGAGTCAAATCCCATGTTATATGGATCAAACTCCATCTTATATGGTCCAAATGCCA